GAGAGGCGCGCTGAAGCCGCCTGCGGATGCTTTTCGCACACGGGATTTTGAACATGGGCCCCCCAAAGCAGAAGTTGCCGCAAATTCATTGTCTAGGTCCTCCAGATTTGAGAGGTTAGAGTAAGGGTACTCTTTTTTCTGTAGGCTATTTAGTAGGGGAACCCTCCCCAAAAAAAGGGTAAAGGACACTACTGGGGGACCTAGTTGTCTTAGGAGAACACCACACGTTAGAAACACCACACGTTAGAAAAGTTGAAACACACAGCTCGCAACTGGGGACATTGGATTGACTGTTTCAGGGGGTTCTCAAAGTCAGAAACGTGTTCCTTTGACCTACCATTTGGGGGTGACGTTGATGGTGAAATTTCAACTAGCCCCTTGGCGCGGTCCATTGCGTCTTTGGCACCACCACAATGTCCAAGCCCAACTGTCAAAATGGGGTTCTAGATGTTCTAAATTAGGTTATTGTGGCAGAAATACACCATAGAACCCTAAAAGGTCCCCCAAAACGAGTCTTCTCTACAAATGATGATTTGCTGGGTTCTATGCGGGTACCCCAACGATGGTGGTCCTTTAGGTTTCCCTTTAAGTCAAGAACAAAGACGCATCCAATTGGAAGAGATTGAAAGGGCCTGCTGCAGCGACTGGAGTGGCCCTCAAAAAAACATGTTTTTTTTCAGGGGAGTAGGCCGCCCCGCCCAAAACTGCCACGGGTTGATACCAAAAATGGGGTTCCCATGCCCATGCCCATGAGTACTTCATCACTTAGGGGGGGGTCCTTGGTGTCACAGAATCCGTTCCACAACTCACGGATGGGTCCCCAAAGTCCGACCACAACCAACCCGGGGAAGAGAGGCTAACCCTGTTTTCCCGGCTTACTCCCAGAAAGTCCTGGGAAGAAATGGCCAGCCTTGGTTTCTTGCTTGATGTTCAAGGAAACAAAACATTACAACAAAAGCAAGTCAAGAAAATAAGCCCCTCAATAACAAGGACCAAAGAAAAAGGCAAACCCACGGGTCTTGGTTCCCCGCCCGACCCCAAGAACCGCTTCCACCCGATTTATTTTTCCGCGCCGTGGAGGGCGGCTGCGTGGACTCCGTGCCCGGGCGCAGCATGGCCAAAGCGCTCTGTGGGGACTTCTCCCGCAGCCTGGCACACACTGGGCTCCTTCAACCCACCTGGTGCGATAGGGATTGACCCTATGGCCCTGGTTGATGAAACCACCAGGTACACCAGGGCCAGCAAGAAAGGGAGATAGTTAATGGGTTTCTTAGGGCTGTTTGGCTGTGGGGTTCTCAGGGGATAACCGGTCAGTTTCCCTTGAAAAATAATTACCAGCCCAGCAACAAGGGGAGATCCCCACAAAAAAAATAATATGACATACCCAGAACCATGTAAGGAACCAAGGAGGCGGCCGCAGCTACTTCTGGTTGGGATCGTCCTTTACCAAACTGCATCTACCCGGGTTTGGATTGTTGCTCAGGTAGGGAATGACCCTTCCGGGTTTTTGGGAATGGTTTTGCGATTGTCTAGGAGACCAAATCGGGGATGGTTTGTAGGGGTCATCCCCTCATTCCTTGCTGAGAAACAGCAAGTACACCTAGACCTTAGAAATGATCTTTGTTCATCATTTCTGTCAAGGCCCGTTCCCCTGCTTGCTTCGTCGACGTTCTGCCTCAAGAAACCCACCCTGTGCGTCAGAGGAGCATTTGGTCCTAACCCGCCAGGACTCCAGAAAGTCAGCGTGCAACCGTAAACCTAGACATTTGTTTGCTCATCATGTGTGTCAAGGCCAAAATGTTCGATGTTACCAAGCATGGATCCTTTTGTGGGCCAATTCTACATGAGAATAAAACAACACCCGCCATTTTGGGGGTCACCTAGTTTGGGGCACCAGAAAGCCAAATCACGTCATGACCATGGGAACACAATGTTAGTATGTTGTTCAGCCTCTTGTATAACGCTTTTTTGGCTCACAAAGGACAACCAAAGAGAAACCGATATTTTTTCCGGGCTCCCAATTTTAAGACACACCCCAACAGCAGTTAGGCAGAAACCCAGGGTTGATCCTTGTAAAAAATCAAACCATCCCTGAACATGTGTGTGTGTGTCGGGACAAACTAGCAAAGACGCAAACCAAAACCAAAAACTGAAGAAACAAAAACACCCCTTTGAGCAATTCCCATCTGCCAGCCGAATTTCAAGCATGGGAATGTGAACATGGGGCAACCTACAGCGTTTCCCTTTGGTTACTCAGGAATTCCCCGGTTTTTGTGGGGAAACTGAGTGAGGTCCCCCCATGTGCATCCCAAATGAACCGTGGCCTGGCATGTTGACTAAACCTCACATGGGCATTCTATTCCTTAAGATTGCGGCCCCTTTCTGGTGGTTCACGATCCAACCACTTTTGAGGCGGTTCCAACTCACAAAAATCCAGGCCCGGCATGCGAAAGCGGGCAAAACTCGGCGCCTGGATTGCATGGAGAGCCGCTCCAACAGCTGCTCGGCTTCCTAACCAACTCGCATTGCGCGATTGGGTTTCGCATTTATGGGAAGTCCTTCAGCGTTCATTGCCAAGTTGTAAGGGAAACCTAGGTTATGACCTACAACCCACACTTAAGGACCTTTTGGGTGCGGTTAACCTTGTTATCGAGCCGAACGTCGAAATATCCCGTGCCCGCAGGTTCCACTTTTGAAGGTAACCAATCTATCTCTAGGTTTTATATTGTGACTTCCATGTTCGCACTATAGTTCAGCTTGCTCTCCAATAACCCTCCACAAAAAACAGGGGTTCAACTCCCCAAACCACCAATTCGGGGTTGCCTGAATAGCAGGCAACCAGACCTCAGGGTTTGACATGTTTTCCACTGGCAACCATTTGTGTCGAGCTAGGGAGTTGGACCCGGAAAGGGTACCCGCAAAAGAAACCCTGCCCCATTGCGGGTACATCTCCCTGCATGAAACACTAAAGAATCTGGCATTAGAAGTACTAGACAAGGGCAAGGTCCGAACAACGGCCACATTGGTAGTGCTAGCGCTTGTCCTTTGACAGGTTTCTTTTGAGAAACAACGGAGGCCCTACAACAAGTGTTTGCCAAGGCTTTGTCTTTTGACACTCGTTTTTTTTGGCTAGGGACCTCACAGAACCCTCAATTTGCTCAAGTCCTCTGGGAAACAAGAAACATATTTCCAGTAGTGATAGATTCCCTTTCAAGCCAACTGGAGAAAAACATAATTTTCGGCAAACGGCAGAAACCTGTTGGTCTCTCTCTGTCTCTCTATCTCTCTCTCTCTCTCTCTCTAGGCTTCTTTTGAAAATGCTGACCCGCGCTCCTACATGAAGCAACTGCTGCAGGTGCCTGTGGTCTCCCTTCTTGGAAGCCTCTTAAGCTGTCCAGTTACGCATGGGATGAGCACAATTGGCGTGCCACGTGGGCTTTGCAACGTAAAGAAGCCACCCGCACTTAAGCCAGAACCGACCTGAACATCAAGAGACCCCAACAAGTGTGTGCGATTCTGACTTCTGAACCCCCCGATGTTGGACACCCAACACGTTTTTTGGTCTAGGGATGGCCCTTTGAGTCCGCTTGGTTGAAAAAGGTCCCAACAATGAGTTTGGCTCTCCTTGCATGTTAACCCCGCTCCCTCTTGAAAACAAAGGAACCCGCCAGTCTTCGTCTTTGCCTTTGCGCGCTTGATGCCGAAGGGGAAATATGGTGAACCCCGGGCCTCGAATGGGTTTCCTCAAGGGAGAACCGGCCAGTTTCCCTTGAAACAGACCAGCCCGGAAAAAAGGGAGTTCCCCACAAGAAATAACATGACATCCCCAAATCCTGTTTCACACTCACTATTTCCCCGCGAGAAGAGTCTCGCGCTGAGGCTCCGCGCCAGCTCCCCCTCGTCCTTGTGGTCCAACTCGACCCACACGCCGTGCAGTGCATCGTCACTGAGCTGCTCCTCGCTCCGACAACCGGCGAAAAGATGCAGCAGCCTCAAGAGGACACATGTCCTCAACGAAATGAGGGGTTCAAGTCTGCAGTTGGAGACACATCGCTTGCCACACTGATGGCAAATGCGTGCCGTGGTAAGTCCCCGAGGTCGGATATAAGCATAGTGACCACCTGAGCACCCTGCCCCTTCAAGTAGCCTCCTGGTTTTCGTGTCAAACCATTCTCAGAATGGTTCCACAAGGGAAGCAAGGATAACCACATGCCACTGTGAATAGGGCATATACTCCAGCTGTGGATAGACAAATCCAGCACGACCATGGCCCACATTTGCTGCTTTTGGGGGGCCCTTGTTGGGCTTGCAGGGCTCCTGTCCGATTCACTCCACTCGTATAAGGGTGTTTCTCAAAAATACGGACTCCCCTCAGGGGGAAAAAAAAACCGGCAGGTTCCCCTTTGGCTTCCCTTGAAAACCAACTAAATGGGGTTTTGAGAAACTCCCACAAAAGGAGAATGTAAGAAACCCTGACTCAATCTGACGGGCAACGGCCGCTTTTTGAGCGGCCAGTCTGGCATTGCCAATTCTGTGGTCTCTCTGCATGCAACTCGCAAAGCCGCGGTCGCAGGGCTTTCGCGGAAATTCTCGGGCAACCCGTCTTGTCTGAGCCAACCAGCTCTTTGCGTCTCTTTGCAAACCCACTTCCAGCTACCACTGTAGCTCTCACTTGCCCTTGTCGGAGATAAAAGGCAAACCTGCTGGGACCCTGACGAAAAGTGGCCGCCAAAACAGGAAATCCAAAATGTCAAAGGTCGATGCGGGCTTTGGGCAACTGAGACAAGCGTAAAACCCGTCTTCAGGCTCTACATGATGGTTTCCTCTAATCATCTATTGCGGTAGAAGCACTGGAAATGCTAAAGCAACCACTGTCTCCTCCATATTGGACAATAGAATCCATCTGAACTTTTGAATCCCTTTGAAGCAAAGTGCTGGTGAGGTTTCGGCTCCTCGAAAAACCCTTCAGCCGCCTCAAACCTGAGCCGTGTCGAGATGCATCACTTGGTCTTCTTGGCGTCATCTTTGTCCTCCTCCTCCATGGTGAGGGCCGTGTAAACCGCGAAGACCCTCGCAGCATTGGATCTGGCCAACCTTTTGCCCAGCTGCCCTCTCATTGGTGGCTTGGGTTGGTGGTTTGGTTGTTAGGGGGGTGGTTCCGACTTATCCACTTACCCTCCGCACGAAACAGGTGTTCAATTCCCCAAAGCACCAATCCAAACCACCAACTTAGGGTTATTTGCCTAATTTGCCGGCACTGATTTAAAAAAAGAAAAAGAAACAAAACACACACACACACACACACACACATGGCATTCCGGGGCCCGCGCAGGGTTGAGCACAACAGCGACATCATCACGGCCTGCGCGATCCCGGAAAAGATCTGAGACTCGGGTGCCACATGGCATCCAGATTCAGTAAAGCACCAAGAAACGAAGCATCCACTCGGGTTGCCTTGAAGTGGGGGACCATAGCAACTATTTCTTTGACCTTTCTGAAGAGAGCCCAAAAAAAAACGGGTGAAACACCCGCAGGCTGGAATTGGGATGGCACAAAAGAAAACGCTCCATGTGCCGTCGGTGCCACTAAACATCACATATTTACCAGCACCGACCATTTCCTCGAAGAAAACAAACAAGTAATCCCAAGCGAAGCAACCTTTTGGTCTGTGAGATTCTGGTGAAAGCCAAAGAAGCTGACAGAGAAGCCTGCCTTTGCAACGGTCAACTATGTGACTGGAGTGTTTGCACCCGAATGGAAACTCACTCAACCCTGGCAACCAATCGGTGATGTGTAACGACAAACAAGGGCATCTGGATGCCAAGTCGATCATGTGGGACACCTTTCAACGTACTGCGCTGCTGCAAAACTGGGCCCCTCAGTTTGACTGCTTTAGAGGTTTCGAATGTCAACAAATAGGGCTCCTGCAACTACGTCTTTGCACATCTGAATTTGATACCCCCCGGGCCCCCAGCAGTCCACAGAATGACCCCGGCATCAGTCTCTGACTGGCCTCATTACTTTATCATTATCAACGTCACCCCCCCTAAGTGGTAATTTAAAGGGAATCCACTCCAGCATGTGTCCTTTGGGAAACATAGCGGGCACTGGTAAATGTTTAAACCATATTGAAGCCGATGCCATTCTTTTAGCAACCAAACTGACCGAAAACGGACACCTATGAAACCCACTTTCTGACTTTGATACCCCGCAAAAAAAAGAAAAGAAAAAAAAAGTCAAACTACAAATTCCAGCCTAAAGCCCCATGTTCCGCTATGGCAGAAGCGCGCCTGAGGCAGGTAGCGCCGTGGCGCCAGAAACATCGCGGAGAGTGAAATCACCGCCAAAACACCTCAGACCGGCCACGGGGCGACTTCTTCTTGATTAGACTTGGATGCCCTGCAACAAGCTTGTCGCCTTTTAACTGGTTGAAACATGAAGGAGAACAACCGAAACAAGTCAGCGAAGTTTGGCAATGAATTTTGCTCGCACCCCCTCTTTGTGGAGTTGATCAAACGGGAAACACGAGCAACTCCACCATGTGTACGGCGGTTCACCAATTGTTGCGGTGTTGACGATGGTAGAGCGCCTTGCCTAGCCATGGCAACATTATGTCATCACGAGCATGTCGTTGAAACATGGTGATGTGCCGTTTGGGGGAGGGATAGATGGGCTTAGGCTTGGGCTAAGAGTCTTCTTAAATCTGTTCCTCTACTGACAGCTTTATCCAGTCGCAACCAACTTTCACCAACCTTTTCGGACCGCCTTGTTCAACACAGGGTCCCGCAGACCGTCTGCTCAAACAAATCACCCCAACTTGTTTTCGTCATGCTTCATCTGCAGATGTCCATCCGGAGAGGGCCATACCTCATTCCTGCAGTTGCTCGGGCCACCAACCTCTTCTTTCTTGAAAGGGGCCAAATGAAGCAAAGATGTCCTTTTTCCAGCGAAAACCACTGGCACTCTTCAAAGTCTTGTCAAACCCTCTTGCGAGCCCCCCCCCCCCCAATCCGGCACTGGGGATCCTCTTTACGCGTGCACCATTTGTCGTTCATTCTGAAAAATGAAGCCGACATGCGTTAACGTTGCCTGCCGTTTGCAAGCTCATTTTGACGCATCGGTATGTGTCCAAAGAGAACCAAGAGGCAGTTAGATGCTCTGCCCAACAACACCCCACGCACAAGGTCCACCGACGTTGGATTGGCAACCGATGGGTTCTTCAATCCATAGGGGCTCAACTGCCGTTCCTGCCCGATCACCGCATGCAGCCCTTGTCTCGCGGTAACTTCCCCATGTCCAGAAAACCACCCAACACCTGAGACAAACCATCTGGTTGTTGTAATAAGGATGGTTGAAAGACTGGGAATCAAGCTTTGCTCTACTGCATTGGTGACATGCAACCCCCCGCCCAAAAAAGGAAACATGTTTGGAGGAGTTTTATTTTTAGGAAAGCCATGTCTTGGGCCATGTTAACATGCGGAGTCGAGCTTTTGCCGGGTGGCAAAGGAGGATCACCTGCTTCTTGGTCGGCGTCACAGACTGCACGATCTCCTCGCTAACCAAAAGACTCCCGGAAGCGCCTTAACCAAGTTGGGTATTTGACTTCAAAAAGAAACCAGTGCTAACAAAACGGAAAGGGCACCCACTGGAGGGGGAAGACCTTCCAAGTTGGACAGTTGATTAAAAATGCCCTGGTTAATTCATAGAGATTTCCTTCAGACAGGATGCTTCACTTGAGGGAACAAACAACTATTAATCTGCCAAGTGGATTAATGTTTGGTCCGTCTTGCAAAATGAATAGTTTCCGCGCAGACGAGCAAAAACTGAGAAACCAAAACTGGACCAAGGAAAGCACATTCATCCATTGTATCCCTCTGGGGCCGAAAAGCCAAAGGGAAACCAGTTTGCTTGGAATCCTCATGATGAACCCATAAAGATCCAACTGGCCCAATAGACATCCACGTTTTGCAAGTAAGAGGAACTTCCGTCATTCCCAAATATGGTACAAAGATTGAAACGGGCACAGCAGAGGACGCTTTAAACAAGCAAACAGGTTCTGCACGGTTTAGACCGATGGGACGCGACATGTAGATGTTTTTGGCACCCAGAATCCAACATCCTCATTTGCCAAAAGATACACCCCTTTGTTGGGTTGCAAAATGCCAGTCCCAAGGAACAAAACCGGACTGCCTGTGGGCAAGACAGGGTCCCTGACGTGTCCACATCAAACATCACCCCGACGAAGAGAAACTTCGCCAAGACTGCCCCAAAACTTGACCAGAGTCAGATCCAAAGGTCGATTCACTTTGTGCAAGTGAGCAACTGGTCGCCCTTTTGGTTTTCCCTCAAAACCACTCTGAAAAGGGGGTACGTACACTCGACAAACCCAAACCTCCATTTGCTCCAGTCCCCTAGAAACGAACATGTTCCAGGGATAGATTCCCTTGAAGACCAAGGGAAACTGTACATAGTCTTAGGCAAATCCAAGCTTTCAAATATTTCGGACCTCCGGCGAGTCTCCTGAAAGAAGGTGGGGAGTTCCTCCGGCGGCGGCTTCTCAACGTACTCCCGTCCTTCCCCTGCCTTAGGGAAGCGGCGAAGCCGAAGCGGCCAGGACGCCGCCGAGCCGCACGGCTCAGAAGACCTTTGGTTGCTACAAAAAACCAACAGCCAAAGGAAGGACCCTGGCATCAGTGGCTTTGACTGGCCTCATGATGATACCGGACTTCATCGTCACCCTCTCCAAGTGATAGTTCAAAGGGAAGCAGCCCCAACTGACCTAACAAGGACACTAATGCCAGCAGGTCTAGGAAACCAGCAACATGGGTCTCACTCTACAAGACACCATGGTTTGTGGTATGATGCGTTGCAGACATTTCCTGTAGTTCCTGTTGGTTAAGGGGCAAACATGGAGCCCCGGTTTTCCGCGGGAAGGAAACAGGACGCCCCTAGAAAACCAAACTCGATTTCCCACTGGTTGATCTTCGCAAACGAGCCAGCTTCCACGGGACGTCCAGTGTAGATTCTTCCGCGCTGCCGAAAACAAACACCTGCAACGTGACAGGTGAATGTATTAAGTCTTTTCAATGGTGGAGGTCGAGTCTCATTTGCTTAAATCTTGTCTGTTCCATGATTTGTTTTTGCTTTCTTGACATGTTCCTATTGTTGAGATGGTACCCCCGGCAGAGGTCAAAACAGCTTGCATGTTTTGCTGCCATGGCTGGCACAGGTTGCTCCAAGGAATGGCAGCTCAATCTCAGAAGCTTGGCCGGAAAGCCTTGAGCGCGCACTTAATTGTCTATGCAAAGCCTCTGCGACTGCACCAAGTGCACTTGGGCCTGCGCATTTTATATTTGTTGCCTATGCGGATTGACGCTGGAAGAATGGTGCCAAACCCACTTCCCTGGGTTCAATGGGACATGCAACCACTGTATAGCTACTACCTATATAAAGCGTCCGGTCCCGGTTTTCCCCTAGGTCCCGGTGGTAGGGGTAGTGGAAAACCACCCTGGACACCCGGGTATAACCCGTTGCTATGAAAAGCTCGGCCAAGTTAGTAAGTTGTAACCCCCTCATAGCAAGGTTAACCCGACATTGACGGACAGGCATCACCAACAACTTACTTCAAGAAGGTTTTCGGGTGTGGGATTTGGTGGTATAGAGGTCATGTACCACTTATATAACTGGTACATACTGCTTTACAATCTTTTGTTGGTGTATAACCATCCATCCACCAACACCCATACCCGAATCAACCCCTAAGTGGCATTTACAATCTTGTGTTGGTGTATAACCGTCCATACCCCCTTAGAACCCCTTGGATTACTCCCTTGGCCGGCCACCACCCCTCGTAGCCCACCCACTTGCCAGGCAGCAGCTTCCAGGAGCGCCGCCCCCAGCTTCTTGCTCTTCGAGGCGTGCTTGTTCCTCGCCGAATTCGGCCAAATTTGGCCCGACGGCTTCAGCAGTCGCGTCTCTCAAGCAGCTTCTGGGGCAAGTGTCGCATAAAAACCCAGGGAATCCAGCTAAAGTCGGCGCGGCTTCCTCTTCAAATCGGCACTTCCTGTAAAACAAATCCGGCTAAAATCCCTTGAAAGGAAAGGTCATGCCGCAAATTTGGGGACCAACCCTTCAGGGCCGGTAATTGAGCAATATGGTTTACTTGATATGGCACCACCCCGTAGCTGTCCCACCATCAAAGCTTTCGGTGCCTGGCGCGCTCGAGGTCTGCAGCTAAGCGTTTCACCGCCGGATCCTGGCTGACTGTCTCTCGTGGGGTCTTGTCGGAGTCACCCCCCCCCCCCCGCCCCCCCCCGAAAAGGGGACCCAAAATCCTTGAAAATGAACCAGACCAAAGCAAACCTGGAGGTGTGTTTCGAGTGTACCGCAGAATCGAACGATCTGTGGGTTTTTGATTCATCTAGTCTTTGGCTTCGCTCAGCTGGGCTGGTCATAGGCATCAGTGGTCCGAATCCGGAGTGCGACACTGCAACAAGGGCAACCAACACCTGGCATGAGGAAGGATCGGCTTTGAAGCCGCCCGAATTCTGATGGCTCCAAAACCGCGGGAATCGTAGCGGTCGGTGTCTCATTAAAAACAAAATGGTACAAGAAGTTGAGCAGATTTGGAGGGTGCTTTTCTTGCGGGTACCCCTTTTGAGGGTTGGTTGGCAAAAAACGTTTTGGATGCGCTGTTTTTTTGGGGGTCCCAAAATTCCTTGTGGTTCTGCCTTAACACCATCCCAAAAAACGGGTACCCTCAAAAAAGACACAGCCATTAGGACATCAATCGATTCGATCCTCCGGCAGCACATCGAGGCGCTCTTGGCACTGGTCGAAATCCCCCAGCAGGAAGGCCGCCTGAAGGCTTCCTATGGATTTGGTCTCTGCCCAGCTTACGTTCCGGGGCTGTCGAGGATATCACCTGGGCTTATATACTATGTTTTTTTGTTAGAGGACAAGGAAAACAAATCATTTGCTGGATCCCCCAAATTGCGTAGGTTGCTTCATCACTTCACTCCAAAAATGAGAAACCTTGTTTGTCTTGCACAAACAACAACCCTTTGCTGGATCCCCCTTAATTTTGAGGTAGTTCAAGGGTGGGAAGCCTAGCCTGATTTTGGGAATTCACGCTTGGTTGATGTTCAAGGCAAACCAAGAGGAAACAAGCAAAAATGGCAAAAACAACTGGCGGGAGGTCCTAGAAATAATTAAATTCCCGATGTAATATTTCAAGCAACTGAAAGGAACCACACACCGACACACCGACACACACCGACACACACACACACACCATTCTTCGAAACTCCTAGGGGCCGATTTCACATGTTCCTCCCCTGTTTAGTCCTCTGTACTTGTTTACTTCCCTTCCAGGGGTGGGTCCACAAAAGGTTCTGCATCCAAACCGAACCCTGCGAGAAACCCCCCTCCCATAGTGGGCTACTCAATCCACAGTGAAGTCGTGCAAAATGCAAATTCATCGTCACTTGATTGATCCTTCCCAGCATCGTTTGGGTTGTTCCTACTGAATTTGCTTTGCTTCCCAAGTCTTTGTTGTTTGTTGCTTATACGTAGTTGATGAAAAGTCCTGGGCAAGCAATGTTGCCTTAAAACGGAGGCCGAAGGGGTACGTGTCACCTTGTGACCCCATTTTGGGTAAAACATCCTCCAGCTAGAGGCTACCGAAGAGGCTACCTTTGAACTCCTGAGGCGACCAACTCAGAGAGTTACACACACAATTACCCATTTTCAAGCTCCCCATGCGGATTCGTGCCTTGGCCACGCGAAAAAGCGCCTGGCGAAAAGGCCGCGAGCTTTGCCCAAAGGAAACCAACCTGGACGACCAGCCTACGTAAGCGGGGAACATATCGCAAATGTTTTTTTATGGGAACCCCTGGCGAAGTGGGGTGGTCATGGCCCATTTGGCGGGTCCCCTATTTTGGCCAACCCCCTGGGTGTGCGAACAAAATAAAGAGAACCTCCACATGGGGCACGGCTTCCCTTTTCCACAAAAGGAGCAGGCACCAAGGACCTCACCCCTTGATGGCAACATGAGTTTGCGGGAAGTACATACCCCTTGCTCACACCCATTGACTTCCCTTACCAACCCACTTTAGGGCTAGATGCCCCTTTGGAGAAGAGGGGGGTATGTACAAACACCCCGGTGAGGCACTTCATCCTTGACAAAAGGAGTGGGTGGGCTCCTTCCCCGCTGTTGAGTCAGACCTGCAGGAGTGCACAGTGCACAGTGCACCCGTGCGCTGTCAAGGAGTGCAAGTGTACAAGCTGGCGAAGGAGTCTACTCACACCCTGTCTGAGATCAAGTGGACTATGAGTGGGGATGGCCAATTCAGTTCAAACCAAAAAACGATAATGAACTTGGCCACCATTAGAAGAGAAACTAAGGTTAGGCAGTTGACACGTTTAAATGGCAGTCGTTTAAACTCGCGTTGCCCAACTGACCCCTGCAAACAGTGATTCACAGTTTGCTTGTGAGATATCAGTCATGCTCCATGTCAAGAACCCAAAGGCAGCCAAGGACACAAGAGAGGAACAAGGGCAACCGCTGCAAGTTTGGGATGGTGAGTAACCGCCATTTCATGGTGGTCTTTCGATTCACAGGCCATCCCCTTGAATGTTGACCGTTGCTCACAAGCTTTCACTGGGGGGGGGGGTTTGCCAATGTGGGGGTAGCAACCTGTCGGCTTGAAAAAGAATACAGCACAAGTCTCAACTGTCACCAAACGCTCACCCATCAATGCAATACATGAATTTGCATGGATGCCCTGGCCGGGACAAGCTCTGGCACTGGCTGGTGTTGCCTTGGAAGCTCTTCAGCTTGCTGCCTGATGGCCCAACAAACTCCAAACTTGTTTGTACCAGTGAAATGGTGTTCCCCAAACACATGAAGTGCAGAAACGCGGGAAGTGTGGCTGTTGAGGCACTGGTGGAAGGGTACCTGGAAGATCAGGTCCGCCTTAAAGGGACAACCTAGGTTCTGTGTTTGAGGAAGTGTAACACAAACTGCCGAAAGGCCTTCTCGTGCTTTGGCACCATGTCCACCGCCATCTTCGCGTGGTCCAAGGCGTCCCGCGCCCGGCCTGCGTGGCAGCAGTTGGAACATTGGCCGCTGCTATATGGTCCCAAAAAGCGTCGCATTTCCCGGTCCGACCTTCTCTGTGGCTGACCAAACACTGTTGACTGGCTACAAAACTATTTGGTTCTTGACTAAAACGATGAAAAAACCTGCCAAGAAGAAGTTTAAGCTTTGCCAAAGTTGAAACCACCAGGAAAACAACCCTTCTCCCCTTAACACCAACAGGAAACAACAAGAACGGGAGAGGCGGCAAAACACCGAACCCATATATGAGCCAGCAGTGTCAAAATTACTTGTCTGGGGCGTGTTCACTCCGACGTTAGGACGTCCCGTTTCGCTTTTCAGAATTTCAGGCATTGTTTCTAAGGTTTTGGGTATCGCTTTTTTGGAAGTCCCGTTCCCGAGAAATACAAAAGGCAAAAGCAACAAGTGCGTGAACCACTCCTGCATAAGGTAAATGACGGACATGTTTTGAAGCTAACTCATATCCCATTCTGCCGGAGTTCCAACCGTTCTTTCCAAAGCCAACAGGGTATGTGTCAAATTAGGGTCCGCAATGATGGTGTGTTTGCTTCGGCCGAATGGGGCTCCTACGAGAAGCGTCGCATGCTACAGGCACCCATGCAAATTGAACTTGATTTCAAAGGGTACACTTAAAATGCACAGCCTACCCATGTTCCCCGCGGTGTTGGGCCAGTTTCTAATAAGAATCCTGAGAATTGGGTGCGGCTAGCTCAACATACCAGTAACATGGCTTAAATTTGTCTGAAAATAGGGAAAAGGGTCTCTCTCCTTTTGGTTTCCCTTCAAATCAACCCGAAAAGGGTACCGAGCGAGCCTCAAAACAAAGGAACCTCACCGACATACTTGGATGTTGGTTGCCAACTCAGCGCGTGCTTAGCCACTTGGTTTTTTTGCACCCCCTGACAAGCTGCACCCCACATTCACGGACTCCGAAGTGGATAGCCTAGGTTACCGTTACCACTTGCGAACTTGACCGGCAACGAACTCGCGCCTAGCTCCAAGTACACCGCCGAGAGGTTGGAGGCCACATCCGCCAGCGTCTTGGTGACTTGCGCCGCCTTACACGAGAGGTGGGGATGTGCTTTCCAACAACTTGGCATGGTAGCAAAAAGCTCACTGTTGTTTGCAGCCCCCTGCCAAACTTAAGCAGAACCTACAAACCTAAAAAGATGCCAACAGTTCAGCTTACACTTTCCAACCCTTGGTATGGTGTGGAAAAGAACTGTCTGTTTCCTTGCAGCCTACTAAAAATGAACAGGACTAAAAAGCTCACTCACATGCCAGCAACAGTGAAGGTTGAGGTTATCTCCACCGACCATTTGGGCAAGGTGTTCCTCACTAAAACAAACAACATTTCAGGCAAAACCTCTGGTCCAACCGGGCTTCTGTCCAACCACGCGGTTTCTCCTTGTCTGCTCGCAAAAAAAAAAAAAAACTCCATCGTCACATCCAGAAGAGTCCGTGAGCACATCGCAAGGGGCTTCACGGAACCCAAGCTTGGAAGACGCGTTCCCTACGCCTCTCCTAAAAAAAACAACTCCCAACGCAGGGAAAAACACGACAAGACCCCTGAAGGAATATGCTTTGTACTTCACAATCTCGACAAGGGAACCCCTAGTACTTGGTTGCTGTTGACCTCCCCGCAACAAGTTTAACTTTTTGGGGGGCTAGTGGAAACCCCCTTGATGTCCCCAAAAGTTAAAATCTCAAGATCCAACCCAATAGCAGTCAAGAGTAAAGCATCTCAATGGCTGCACTCGTTTCAGCTGCATTCTGAAGGAGACCCAGTGTTGGCACAGAGAAATCGAAAGCAAACCAACCACTGCCTGAGGCTGGCTGTCCCATAGCCCGAGTGGGAGGATTCGGACTGGGGCATTCCGACACCTGTAAAGAAAACAAAAGAAAGGAACCATGGGTGAGCTCATTTCATCCGAGCGTCATAAACTCTGATTGATATACCTAGGCTTTCCGCAGAGAGAGAGAGAGAGAGACAAATCAAAAGAAGCTCATCGGGTGAGTTAGTTCCATGTCATGTTTTTTTCTGGCTGGGCGGTGAAGACGTCTAGGTTACTTGCCGAATTCCTTGCCCTCATGTCAATGTCTCCAATATGTCCAAGCTTTTATATTGCTTTCGACGCGTCCTTTATTTGGCACCCCGGCCTCCCCGGTTTTTGCGGACAATGCCTCATTTGCATGTGTCAAAATTGGAAGACTCTCAAAAAACAGTTCGTCCTTTGCATTTCCCTCTATCAGCACCTCAAAGACGATCCCTCCTTGGGTGCTGTAGATCCCCCAGCAAAAAGCTTAACTTGTTGCTGGTTGAAAGGACATATGAGGAGAATCCAAAAAGTTAAAGTCTAAAGATCCAACATAATAGCAGTACAGCCTCAAAGAGGGTAGAGCCACACTTGGGGCTCGGGCTCTGCCCATGATCCCCCGGTCTCTCGCCGAAGGGCTGCCGCTTGCCCGGAGAGCCCCAGCGATGCAGGCGCTTGGATGGGCGTCTCTTCGAAGATCTGATCAAAGCAAAGGGGTCTGGTAGAGGCACAGGGCACTCAGCATCTGGTTAATTAATGTTGACCCAGGATTAGTAAGCCCGCCCCATAGGGGGGTGTTCCCTCCAATAGTGGTCTGAATCCCCACTAAAAGGGGACACCCCCCTATTCATCAACCAGGGGTTTATTCATCCGGTTAACATTAACCCGCTTACCATGGTCAAAACGCCCCACATCATCGAGCATGAATACTAACAACGTACTAAGTACCCTGTCGCTTCAAGCATGCCTCTCAAGGCTGAAACCCCAAAAGCGGCCTTCCCCCCGATACGAACAGCTAGTGGGCAAATCCTAAGGCCATCTCGAACAACGCCTCAAATGAACCTTACTGCAGGCAGCTAGCCTGGAGTACGTTTCGAACATGTGTGTTTGTGACGATACCCGAAAACCATAGGCATCGGGAACAATTCATTGTGGGTTCTCCATAAAACAAACCCATGTTCAGTCTTCACACCAACTGATCTCAAGGTCCATATCAATAATAAGGGTAACCGTTGCGTATGAACGTCGTCATTTGGCAGTGTGTTAAAACTAGGGTCCCTTCTTAATGATGTCCTTTCGAAAAGACATCACTTCAAAACTGGCCCGAGGAAGAAAACAAACATGTTTGCTTGTACTATTACACTCCAACTGTTTGACATATTAGAGAGTTTCCTCCATACATTCGTAGTTGAGGAACAACATCGCAGAAATCTGCATGTGCCGGAGCGAATTGATATACTTGTACGCTGCACTGACTAGAGCGTGGCTAAGTGTCCCAAACCTTGGGAAAGCTTTGTAAAGTAGCAGCATGTTATTCAACAACTTGAAATCACAGACTCCTGGAACGCGTGCACACACGCACAAATTGGGCCGCCAAATGTTGCCTTGAGTGGTTCCGGCCCGCGAGGCCCGGACCCCGGACCGGACGCTCCCTGAATGAACGGAGCAACAAAAACAAACAACTACAAACATCACAGACCAGCGAAGATCATTTGACAAAAATGCCAAAACTGGTTGGGTGGGGGAACAAATCAGGAACGAGGATCGACCAAGGGTCCCCAATCATCCACAATTTCGATAGGACGTGGGTTTGGTGCACAAATCCATTCCAAAGGGACTGTTCACCCGGCAAAAACTATGAGTGTCCAAAATGGGGGCCGTTCAGCCGCAAAAACATCTCTCTAGAACATGAAACCCAAAGAGCATGATCATTGGAATCTCCTTTGTTAGGGCGCTCCTTTTGGGTTCAATGCTTTTCGTTGCAGACTCGGGCAGGTCGCAAACTTCCGGGTGAGCTTGCTATGAATTGATCACATATATATATATATATGTGTACATATGTTTATATCTATGTATGTATATTTGTGTATAACAATCCTTGGTTTAAGCCACTGGTTTAGGAGCGGCTTGAACACCGTCTCTTCCATGTGTCTTGAACATGCACGCTCGCTTATAACATTTGCCCGAACCAAGTCTCCTGCATGCCCTTCTCGTAGCACTTGCAGGCTTGCTGCATATTCTTGCGCTTGAAGTGGTCGTTGCCGTTCTTCTTCCTCCACTCCAGCTCCTGGTCGCCGCATCTCTCCGGTTCGACAAATTTGGACCTGGAGATCCTCCTATCACTGGCTTGCACCCGTAGGGATTGGTCAGTGGGATCGGAGTATACGTTCCCTTTACACGTCACCCCACCAAAACGAACCCCCTTTACGTTCGCCCCAAAGATGTGGTTAAAGACATCCCAGAGGTGAATGGAGAGCTTAAAACCATCCATGAGACATCCGTTCACGTGGTAGGTACCCCATTTTCTTTTAGAGGTGGTTTGGAAGTAGTGGAGACCTACTCAAAACTCGTTGCTCGCTCACTCGCAACCCTCGCAAAAAAAAACCTGTCGCGGCCTGCACGCGCTGGGTCCAATCTGGACCTTCCGCTGGCTGGGGGAAGAGGTCCAACAGCTTCACGCGGAAGTACACCTCACAGGCGCGCAAACACCCGCACGTCTTGTTGAGATGCACATGTCAAAATGACATGTTCTGGGTTCAAGGTTCCCTGTATTTTCCGTGGTATGGGCATGTGCCAAAATGGGCGTCCCTTTCAATCAAACTGAAGAGGGTACCCTCAACCAACACAAACCCCTATCAGCAGCTGACAACGTTACCAGCAGAAGCCGCTCGGGGAGTACAAACCGATACGGGATTGCAGCCACACATAGTGACAGTTCGTTTCTTTTTGTGTATATTATTTTCGGGGCCAACAATTTCCCTTTGCTGTTCACTTTGGCAAACAAATAACGCCCAGATCCCCAGTGGCCATGGCAAAAAAGGCAGAGCCTTTTTGTCGATTGTGAATTGAAAGGCAACCCCCCCACCATCCCAAGCCCCCCGCCCCCCACCCCCAAGAGACAACATGCACAACATGACAAGGCCTCCAAACATGAGTACCCTTCCTCCAGTCATGGAAGCTGACGGAGGGTTTTGAAAGACTACTTTGTTGGTTGGGGGGAAAGCCCCTTGAACCCACTTCCATGTTTGAAAGAGGGTAAGGAAGCAACCGACTTTGTGTTGGCTTCAGCAAGCCAAGTTTTCTAAGACTTGGCGCGTCCGTGTCCGGCGGCACATCGCTCTCGCCGGGCTCGGCCGCTCGGCAGCCGACGGGGCCTCAAGGCCAAACCCCAGTGCTACCCAAAAAAAGAACCAGGCAAATAATATCAGGGGGTTCATGCAAGGGGTTAATATCAGAGGTAAATATCAGGGGGTTAATATCAAGGGGTTAATATCAGGGGGTTAATATCATGGGGTTAATATCAGGGGTTAATATCAGGGGATGTCATATCAGGAGTTAATATCAGGGGGTTAATATCAGGGGGTTAATATCAGGGGGTTAATATCAGGGATTAATATCAGGGAGTTAATATCAGGAGTAAATATCAGGGATTAATATCAGGGGGTTAATATCAGGAGTAAATATCAGGGGGTTAATATCAGGGATTAATATCAGGGGGTTAATATCAGGGGGTTAATATCAGGGGATAATATCAGGAAGTTAATATCAGGGATTAATATCAGGGGGTTAATATCAGGGGGTTCATATCAGCGGGTTAATATCAGGAGTAAATATCAGGGGGTTAATATCAGGGGTTAAGATCAGGTGGGTTAATATCAGGGAGTAAATATCAGGGGGTTAATATCAGGGGGGTAATATCAGAGTTAATATCAGGGATTACTGTCAGGGGTTAATATCAGGGGCTTAATATCAGGGGGCTAATATCCGGCTCAATATAAACTGTGGGGCCAGAACCCTCTTCTGAGCCAGTGCATTGTCAACATCTGCACAAAACACTGGCAATATGTCCAAAACCTGAAACGAGAAATCCACAAGTACAGGACCTAAAGTCAGCTGTTTCTCCACCGAATCAGGGAGCTCACCATAAAATATGTTCAACATGTTGTCCTAAAAGGTTTGTCTAGTCTTTTCTGGAGATTTTGGCAGGAGGTACTTGGACCCTCTGGGAAAATATGGTTAACCTGATAGCGGGTATACGGATGATCTCAGGTTTCTCCCGGGTTTCGCTCGAGTGATCCTCTTGAAATAAAAACATCAGTTGCATATTCTCACTTGCCCTGGGCCCCAGAAGTAAACGATAATTGCCTTTTGAGCTGTGCTCAGAATTCAGCGTATGCCAGACACCTCATCGAAGCACATACCATGTGTGTGGTCACTTTGCTTCTGTGTCATGCTTCTCTTAAAGGACTCCTTGTCGTTGAAACTCCTTGGGGCTCCATGACCATCTTCCCAAGTAACCTTGGCCCGCTTATGGATCTACAAATGTCAACTTGTTTTCCAAAATCTGAAAAAAGGGCATCCCCAAGTAAAGGATCTTCCCCCGGAAATGAACTGTCCCCAAGTATCATGGTGAGCTCGTTCCCCGAATCGCTGGAACCGCTCGCGTCCTCCTCTTCGGCAGCCGAGAGCTAAGCGCCAGGCCCCAGGCGAAGCGACTGATGCAGGAGACTTCAGCTTCTTCCTGATGTCTCCAAATGGGCGTGTAGTAGTAAACAAAAGAACCCCCCATTATGGCGGCTTCCCTTTTGGTTTCCCTTTCAACCACCCCAAAACATGGGATCCTCCCAAAAACACCCACACAGACAAGTCATTGTGTGCGCCGCTGCTTGAGGGCACCATTTCGTGGAGGGAAGCCAAAGGAACCACCTTTGGGGTTGTTAGTTCGGCAGTAAAATTGGTCGCCCCCGAAAACCCAATGTAAAGAATCCAAAGGCCGGCCACACTGTTTGCGCTGTCCCATCCCTTGCTGACCCTCACTAACCCAAGCGTTGATTGCTCAAAGTTGCAGTGACTGTAGTTGGGTACCTGAGTGATGTTTTCTTTTGGTTTCCCTTTCAAAGAAATCCACAAAGCATACCCTCACGAAAGACGCCCAACGTGGGCATGTTCAGCTGGGTTCAGGGGATTATGTCGAACAATGTGGCAAGGCACTCATCAAATTAATCGATAGGATATTAATGGGCGTCCTTTCCAATCGCAACAAGGGCAACAAAAATAGTGGAGTTTTCCGAGACAGCTTCAACAGGGGCTTTGGGGTTGCTCGGGTCACGACCTTCAGATCAATTCACATCTTGGTTGTTTTTGTCGTATCTGATCTGCACCCTGGGATTCCACGTGCCGGAAAGAGATAATGCAAAGGCCATGGTACCACTGGCCAAAGAAAAAACAACCGAAAGGGGCTAATCCGACAGAAGTGCAAGTTCATTGGACAAATAAGTACTCCATCATGGGCTCCGAGAGCAAACATCTTCGGTCCCCGAAATGCTCAGCTAGTGACAAGGGTTTCTCGTGAAGGAGCGCACACGGCCTTGCTAATCATTTCAAGTTTGAAGGCACACTTTGGCAAATTGCACAGAAACACCGCCACATACTAAATAAATGTGATACGATTTCCTCTTAGGCAGTTCTGTGCTCAACACGGCGTTTTGGATGATTGTCCACATGGGTGTGTCAAAAAGGGACCTCCTACACCAAAAAAAATAGATTTGATTCTGGTGTCTCTCTAAACAGGGTACTCTTATCGTTGGTGTTTCCAAGGAAAACACCAAAGAAACACAACATGTTGGAGGGGTCCCCTAAAAAGAGACACCCACGCATTTTGGGAGCCCACGAAACAAAAAGTCAATATTTTAGAGGACCTCCTTTCAGATTGGAATCAAATAGCAACCAAGAAGGAAAGCCATTTTGAGGTACCCTACTTTCAGACACACCCATACTCACCACGCGACTTCAAATTTTCAAACCTCGGTTGACGTTGGAAGGGGAGCAAAAATTCAAATTTTAGCTGTTAAGTGGGGAGTTCCCACTAAACGACAATCAGCAAAACTGTAAAATGTTTCCCAACAACTTCCATTTGGTCAAGGCCCCAGGAAAAATATATATATATATATTTCCAGTAGGGAGTTTCTTCCTTTTAACGCCAGCAAGGGAAAATGAAACATAAATTCAGCTCCTTTTAACACCAACAAAAAAAACACACATATTCTTCAGCCAATGGAGGACAACAACCATGAAACTCCTAAGAGTTCCTTCAGCCAAGCGTCACCCACGCGCATATGCCGCAGTACCAGCTCTAGCCCGGGCACCGCCTCGGATTCTCCTCGGCTCGAGCCGTTCGAACCCCCCCACCTCACGTCCAGCGACCTCCATGGGGCGTGTCAGGTGTCTCAGTTCTTAGAGTTTGGACTCCCCGAAAGATTCAGCTTCCCTAAAAAAAACAGGTGAATTGGATTGCCTTGATGGGCTGGTTTCCCAAAACTCTCTAGGGTCAAACTTGTGTGGAGGTTGGACAGCTTCGCTTGTTCTAATGGTTTCCTTTTTGTTAGATCGGAATAACCGGGGCACCCTGAGAAAACACACTCATATGTCTTGACTCATAGATTCCCTTCTAAACCAACAGGGGAACATAACAACATCTTCCCAAGCAAAGGACAGGAGTTACCCAAGCAAAGGACAGGAGTTACCATTGCAGGTCACCAGTGGACATTGAAATCTTCATGTGAGTCACAATCAAAACCCGGTACTAAGATGGTCTGACTGCCCCTTACTAACCTTCATCTACACGGGCTTTGATTGTGGCTCATGTGTGTGTACTGTTTGGTAAGGGTATCCTTTTGGGTGGATTGAAATGGAAAGCAAAGAAACATCACCCATTGTTGGGGTCCCCTGTTCTGACACTTACCCATGTAGACCTAGAGGTAGAACACCCTGGTTCCTATAGCGATAACCGGAAGAACTAGCGAGCGCTGTCAATGAAGTGGAAAAATCTTTGGGGAGAGCCAGGAAAGCCACGCTGCTCAGCACGTTTGTTGCTATGGACTGGTGGTTCTTTCAATGTTAGACAGGTTTATACAGTGCCACTATACCTCCATGTAGCGCTGTTGTCACCTGGAAAAGAATGTCCAGAGTCACGGATTAGCTTAAACCCAAATAACCCAAATACCGAGAACAACAACAACTTTTTAAGCACATGGAAGTACAACGTCCACTTCACTGGCCAGGGGTGTGTGGCACAAACATCCACAGGAATCGACCTTCACGCCCCAGCCAGCCATTCGGTCTTGGTGCTTCCAGCGGCTGGAACAGCATCTGGGTGGATAAGACTTTGCCAATCCAGCAACAAGGGCTCCGTATCAAAGGCCCCTTGCGAGGCTGCTATGATTCGCCCAGATTCAAACATAAAATTAAAACAAGGAATGGATGCCATTCCCTATCCCTTCAAGCGAGCTTTTAGCAAGCCTCACATGACCTCACATAAGCTCCCATCAAAAAAAATGCGACTTGCCGTGTTGTGGGTTGGTTTTAAAGTGAAGTCCACTGCACAAGTGTTGGCAAGTTGATTGGCAAGTCGCCCAAAGCACCTTTTGGGATTACAAAAGCTGGACTTCAGGGGAACAGGCTTTCAGGTGACATCCGGCCGACTGAATTTGGTTGTAAGTGAGAAGAACCAACCAACCAACCAACCAACCAACCAAGCAAGCAAGCAAGCAAGCAAGCAGGCAACCAACCAACCAACCAACCAGCCATGCAACCAACCTACTAACCAATCATCCATGCAACCAACCAACCAACCAACACGCCAACCAACCAACCAACCAACCAACCAACCAACAAATCAACCAACCAACCAACCAACCAACAAATCAACCAACCAACCAACCAACCAACCAACCAACCAACCAACCAACCAACCAACCAACCAACCAACCAACCAACCAACCAACCAACCAACCAACCAACCAACCAACCAACCAAGGGCGTCGGGGTGCTACCCTTCGACCATCTCCCGACGGCTCCTATGCGATACCGTGCCAGCTTCCGCCGCTGCAGGATCTCTCCCTCGGCAGATCTGCGGACCTGGATGGGTCGAGGGGTCGCAACCTGCTCACCTGGCTCACCTCCTGTCAGCTTGCCTCTTGGGGAATTCTTGTCCGTTCCATTTCCGGTCCCCTTTGGAGTGGGTCTAGGGCGCGCTTAGGGTTTAGGGTGGTTGTGGGTTCGGGTTTGGTTTGGGTGGTTTGGAGGTTGTGGGGTGGCTTCCCAAATACCCTCTACAAGAACCGAAGGTTCAAATCCCAAACCACCAACTATGGGTTTCCTAAACGAAGGGGAGCCTGATCCTGAGTGGATGGCCACTGGAGCCCCCTTATCTACGTGGTCCGTTAGTTTTGGGCGCTCAGAGCTACTGTGACATGGATAGAAACTGCAAAACAACCCATCCAACCCTACAGCCTATCCCGCCACCCCACTTGGGTGCGTCTTGTCTTGAGGTTCCCCCGTTTTTGGCAGATTTGCAGGGAAACCACAGGGAAAACCCGCTCATTTTGGGGGTCCAAAGCCTAAAGCGAAGACACTGCCACTTGTTTCGCCGCTTCCGCCTCATAGTTGCAGAGCACATCCCGCTGCACCTCGGGTTCCTCGCCTTCGCCCTCCTTGATGGTCCTTTTTCCTTAGCCCAAATTGTCTTGGTACTCGAGGATGGCCGTCGAGGTGTGGAAAGGGGCCAAAGTTGTAGGGGTTGATACTCTGTTCGACCAGCGTTCTTTTCCAAACCCAGCTATTGATCTTTAAAATTCGGGCATCCTAGGTTCTTGGGCCAGGGTTTCAAGGTATTTGCATGTGCCTTTTGCTGGAGGGTCCCATTTGCGCTGTTGACTAGGAAGCCCAAGCGGCCAACTATAACTATTGTGCCGTTCCCCGATTTGCCGAAGCCTTCGAACACATCTCAGGCCTAAACCCTGGGCCTTTCGGTGACATCAGCGACCCCGAGCCAAGGTGTTTTTAATGTATTTAAGTATCTTTAAATTTATCCGCAAACAAAGCCTTTGCTGTTTGTGATGCGCCCTTTCAGCGTTGGTTTTATGATATTTTCCCACATGTGCACTTTAAGCATCAAACCCTTTCAGAAATGCATGCAACTACCAATGTCCATAAACGGGTAGCGCTTAGTTTCATTTGGACACCCAACCACCTTCATGTATTCTTGATCTTGACTGATCCAACCTCAGCCGCAAACACCTAGTTCGCACCACCTAAGCTGATTGGCGCATGGCTGAGAAATGGTCAGAATGTTTTCGGAGTTTGGAAAGCCCCCCCAAGCCGATCCAAGGTAAATCCGAACGGAGACAGCTTCCAACGGAACTACTTCCGGTTGCGGCATTGAAAACGTGGGCGCCGTGTCGGTGAGCTGATCCACCAAAAATCAACCAACATACAATTGTCCCTTTGGTTTGTTGTTTGCTTCAAAACCCCCTCGCAAAACACGCACCGCCAAAAAGGGGGGTCTGAAGCAAGGGGATTTTAGAGCGGTTGCCCACTTTCCTGGGCAGCTTCGAACACCCTCCGGTCTGCTCACATGATTGTTTGGTGTGCGGCCGGCCAAATTGCCAAATTGCACTGGCAACCTATAACCCACCGACAAGTCCTCCTTTCAGTGGGGTTAGCCTTCTTAATTACGCGGCGTCCACTTCCTGACCTGTCGACATCCAAGTGTTCCCCCACGTTGCACACTTGATCGATGTTTCAGGCTTCCACCGGCTTTCTGTCGGGGGTCGAACTTTTCCTTCCATCAAGTCCTGGAGCCGCGCAAGCAAAATGAATTGGCAGCCATGACCGTTTCCCTGCACATATGGAATTTGGGAAACACGGGGGTCCTACAGGGTGGGCGCGAATGACGGAACGAAACATGGATAGGTCGGCAAATACGGCCAAATATGAATCTTGACTTAACAAATGTAGCCATACGGGGCCCAAGCTTCCATACCGTCTGGGCCCATCCACCGGGTTGACCTGTTTGTCCGGTCGACCAGACAAACACCCAGGGCTGCCCGACACGACAAACACCGTGGGGCTGCAAGCCTCAAACACCGAGCTTCGGAATGCTGCCTGTGGTACCCTCCCCGTATGGATCCCCAAGTGGCACGCCCCACGCATGACTCCCTTCTCCTCCTTGCACACTGCCGCAAGGAACGCGCTTCGTGGAGGCCATGCTTGAAACCAAACTCAACCTATTTCACACACAGTTGTGTGTTTTCACACGGAACTTCTCCCCTTCCCAAGCAACAGTCCTCCCAGCCATCCGCGTCTTTCTCCCGAACTGCCGGGGCTTCCGCTTCCTCTTCCACCTCCCCTGGCGCAAGAAAGTGAAATAAGAAGCACCAGTGTGGACATCTTACTTGGCAGCATCTGGACGCGCTGGCCTTACGTTTGCACGCGTGTTTGCAATTTGGCCCTGCGCGGGCTCGCTTTGGCTGCGTCCAGCCAAATGTGGCCCTGCTTCGCTTTGTGTAGCCTTGCAGTCTGAATGTGCGATATTGCGCTTGTTGGGCCTGTTGCCTGTGGTCTTACGCCTGGCGTTGCGCCGGTTGGTGGACGGGGCAGCGCTCAGCGAGGGCATACATGGAACACGAAAGCGGACCCACTAATTGAGCGCACCGTAGCAAAGCTGAGCTGATCTGCCAGAACTTGCCGAATGCACCACGAGCCTTTCTGCAAGATTACGCAAGCTTTTCACAGACACTGCTTTGACACGCCATGGGGTTTATCACTAAACCCAAACTTCGTTCAGAAAACGAGTGGGGCTCAAACCCTTTGATTTGAGTAAACGGTTGAGCGATCTAGCCTGCGCAGACTACACGAAGGGAGCCCAGGGTAGCAAGACCCTTTCCAGCCACCTTTTTGGAAGCACGCGCTCGAGCCTGGCTCACCTGGCTCCGCATCTGCTTCCAACTCTTCTACCAGGGCCATGGCTTCAAGCAAAGGAAGCGGTCAAACGTGAGCGTCCTTGAGTTTGAGGTAGGCAGCATCTCTTCTTGCACACTTATCTGCACATGGGGCTGCGTGTGGCTTGCCTAAGTCGCGTTGCAGCTTGCTTGCTCGCGCGGCGCAACTTGCCGGCGCGCGCGGCTGCCATGCGCCAGCTTCAGCTTGTAGCTTGCTGGGAGCGCGGCGCGCGAAGTACACTTTGGCAGCTCCAAGAAAATCGCAACTTTTCAGTACTGTAGTACTCAAAGCACCCCAGCAGCTCCAGCTCAAAGGCGCGCCCTTTCAGTACGCATCCAGAGCACAAAGTACATTTGGCAGCTCCAGCAAAATTGCAACTTTTCAGTACAAATGCACTTTGGCAGCTCCAGCTCGAAAATATGCAACTTTTCAGTACAAGTGTAGTACTCAAAGCGCGCCCGCAGCTCCAGCTTGAAAGCGCGAACCTTTTCAATACAAGTCCAGTGAGCCGGCAAAGCCGGGGGGCGGAAGTTTCAAAAATATAATAACTATAGTTTGGGCCACCCACCTCCCCACAACGAAGGGGGGGTCATTGGGATGGGGCAAGCCCATGCCCAATGTGCAGTTGCCCCTCTTCGTTTTGGCGCGCTTTGCCCATTCTCACTCAGCTGCTAGCACATGTGACTTACATGCCGCTCTGTGTGCCCTGTTTCAGGTTGGTTACCAGCCCAAGGCAAGACCACCAGCTTGGGGATTCCCCTATGTTGACACGTGCCCATGCGCAACCGCATTTTCTTCTTGACCAATACATGGGCCACGGCTCACAGAGGCATTCGCATGCGCTCATCAGTTGGCGCCTTCATAGGGCTGAAGCTCGATGGCTGCAGACTGCTCAAAGGAAACAGGTCAGGGTTCCCGATGTTTCCCTGGAAGGTGATGATGATGATGATAATGATGATAATGATGATGATGATGATGATGATGATGATGATGATGATGATGATGATGATGTGACCCCTGGAAGGGAGATGGGCCCCAAAAGACGGCTCGCGAGTTGTCTCTGCAAGCTGCAGGGGTTGGGTCCAGCTCGGGTCCACGAGTGTGGTGCTTCAGGCTTGGGCCACATTCATTGAGCAACACCTTCCTTGGGCCTTGGACATCCAACTCGGCGAGCTTTCTTGACCCGACTCTGGGACGCAAAAGCAGTCTGCTCACCTTGATTTCAAATTGTCTGAGGCAACCGCAGCTCTCTTTCCTCAGGCTTGACAAGGCCCCCGCAAAGGGTTTTTCCCAAGCTCCGGCTGGCCGCTCTTTACTCGCATCACTCTCCTCGTTGAAGAACTATCCCAAAACGCGGGGGGAGGGGTCACCATCCTTGCCTTCAAAGCACCCTGTGACAAATGGCTGGCTCTTACTGTGGTTTCCTTTGAGCACTCTCCAAAACGGAGAGAGCTGCAACCCGGCCCTGAATCTCAGGACATCTTGCAAACAGACTCAACATTGCGGGGGACGATTCGAACCGTCTCCTGGGTGTATTCCAGAAGCTGCCTGGCGATATGCTGCCAATCCTCGGAAAAGGAACCAGGGTTGTTCCATTCAAACCGCGTTCAACATGGCTTTGGCCCAGGAGCAGGGCACAAAACCCGGAATTGCTTGCACACCCGGGAGGGAGCTGGATTCCAAATTCACTTGAAAGCAAACATGGCTAGACACAACAAGTGTTGGCGTAGGTGTGGCACAAACGTACGGATTTCGATGGATCATGATCAGTTTGCAACCTAGGTTAAAACAAAGTCACGCGAAAAGGAAGATTTCCACATGAGTCATGGTCAAAGTGAAGAGGGCGCAGGTGTTCTGTTGTCATCTGGTTGGTCCCCCACTGGCTTGCTTATCCTTGTCCTTCAAAGTAAGCTGAGAACAACCTCCGGGTTCCAAAGCGGTCATGTTGTTGCGTGTGCAAAACAGTTTCAACGAGTACCTGAGTACCCATGTCCTGAAGCCCCAAATGACCCAAGCCATGCAAGGAGGTCCTTCGACTGAAGATGCGCGGATCTGCAAAGCAGTGAATGCGCACTCTTGACTTACCCGGGCCAGACGTGGACCCGGTGCGAAAAGCAAACTCCTTGCTCCCGCATCTTCATGCTCGGTAACCGCCACACTAGGTCGAACCACGAACCGGTGGTCGGATGAGGGCAAATACCCAGCACCCTTCGCTTGCAAGATCTGATCAGATCAACAGGCGCGTGCGCGTGGCGAACTCTGGGCAGCCGTGGCACTAAGATCACAACGTGGTTGGAACATGTGTGAAAAGAAAGGCACCAGCCAACTGCAGGCTAGGGACCATATATCCGGACCATATAGCTTTAGGCAAAAACTGCAGGAAGTGAGGTACGGCACTGCAAGCCTCCATCCGCCAGCACAGAAAGCAGCGGTGTGAAGTACGGCTCAAGCGCGTCCTTACGAAGGCGAGAAATCAAGTAGAACAGGCTTCAACGACGGCAGGGGCAAAGACACTGCTCGGAGGATGCACCGTGCCAGAAAACGCTGTTTCGGGAAACTTGCAGTTCCGAAAGAGCACGTGTGAATCCTGAAATTGAACGGCCCAAGGGATGTAACGGCGGGAATGCCAGGTATAGTGACCCAGTGCCCCGACCAAAAAAAACAAAGGCATAGACCGTCTTTGAACAAACAAAAATATGGATGGAACGAGGCCGGCCTGCATATCGAAGCCACACCACATCAGGGAACCATGCATTGGATCCAAGGATGAGGAGCAAACACCAGGCAATGAGCGCACGGACATATCGGGCTAGAACGCCCCGTGCAGCAGGAAGGTGCATGACCGCAAAGAGACGGATGGGACAGCGCCGCCTCGCAAAAGGCCACAGAATGGGCACTGAGAGCCATCACTAGGCCGCGAAGCAAAGAGACTGCAGGAGGCAGGATGAAGTTTCAGGGTGAGAACGGAGACGACTACACTCTAGGGGACCCACCCCCCAAATCTAGTGGAACACCCCTGTGAACAAATAAAAGTAGGCCAAGTCTGGTAATTTTACTTTCGGGTGAATGCTAGAGGCTCCGATTAGATGTGTGCCATTCAGACAAGAGGATGACACCTGCAAATGCTGGAGTTGCGGCATCTACTTTCACCCACTTGCCCATTGACCACGGGAAAAGGTCTACGTTGACTGCCATGCATCCTAACAATGGTAGCTGTTATTTTCCCCGATTCCAGTAGGATGCCGGGGCACAGGGAAAGACTGTGCAAGGCCTTTAGCCCAAGAAGGCTCGGATAAAGCTCGGAGGCCGCTTTGATTGCCAAATGGAAGTGGACGGCATTCCCAGAGCGTAACCCAAGGCGAATCCCACTTTTATTGGATCTCACATGGCAAATGGACTTCTTCATTTTTGGCTCATAGCAGAATAAGGAAAGAAGTTTACTGTAGCCTAACTAAGAAAGGTTGACCTGTTTATGGCTCCTCTTATGGCCCTGAATTTGGAGGATTGCGGCCAGCGGTGTTGTCGGCGTTCCCTGCGGTCAGTGTGCGAACGAATGCTCATGGGAACAGCCTTTCTTGCGTCACATAAGGTGGCCCTCCTTCACGATGTATTGAAACGAAAACCAAAGCCGAAGCCCAAAGGCCAGAAAGATCTGGGCGTTGATCAATACTTCTGGCCCCAAAGTCACCATGGGTGACTTTTCTCATTAGTTTTGACCCTCATTTTTGTGTGGCTTCCCTGATGGTGATCCCATATAAAGGACCTTTTGATCAAAACCCGCACAATCTGCTTCGGTGTGCACCAAACCTTTTCTTCGGGCTCCCGGCCCATTCGCTCACATAGCCCGTCCACTCAGCGCCTAAGCTTCCAGGTTTACATGCTTGGAAAAAGCACGCGCCCGTTCCGAGCCGCATTTCTGAAATAATTCCAGAGAAACGATCTGTTGACAGTTAGCAAATCGCTTGTGTGGATATGTTGTTCTGCGGGCGTTTGCGCTGCAGCGATGCTGCGCCTTTCTGCAGCCGTTTTGTAGGTAAACCTGGGCAGGCAACAATTGATATGCCACCCAAAAATAACTGTGGCAATTTACTTCACCTGGCAAGACCATTGCAACATCACCGCGCGCACGCTTACATGTCTTGTCCGTCATGGCATTCGATGTAGCCTGTGCTGGGCTGATTCGCTGTTTGTACTTCTTGCCATCCTTCAGCGCCTTTTGCAGGCTTCTTCGTGCCATTAAATGCTCTGATAGTTGTACGGGTTTGCACAGAAAACACGGTAGTTTCAAGACAATTCGTAAATGCTGAGAGCTGCCAGGAATTCCATGACAAACAAATTTCCAGGTGTTTAGCAAGGACAAACTTCGGGCGCACACCTCCAAGAGGACTCAAACCAATTAGCACTGTAGCGGGACAATACTGGTGTTGAAACCAATACGGTGGTGTTTGCGATCTAGGCGGTTTCCCACGATATGATATGTCCCGCCCAAATATTGCACCATTTGTCCAATCGCATGCAACTGCAATGTTCAACCCTTCCGAAACGGAAATCGCGAGACAGCCTTCAAAAGCCAGTTTTTGCATTCTAAAGTGTAGACTTTTATCTTGCTTCCTGCTTCCCTAAAAAACAAACACAGCGTTGACACTTTGGCGTTTGAAAGCTTGGCAAACCACAACAACTTTTTTTGGGGGGCAGTGCATGAAAAGTGGCGACCATTTTGGGGACTCCTGCCAAGAGTTCTTGGAACATCTGACGCGGTGTGGCACTGGTAGCCACCCGCGTAGCAACGGAGGGGGGGAGGCTTGTCCGCTTAAAAGGCACATGGTAAGTTCCATGAATCACCCTGAGGCAAGGGAAGCGGACTGAAGTCACTGTCACCCAAGCGAGGCATGGGCTGGGCTACTGAAGTCTGGGTGCAAAATCTCACGGCTAGCTAAACCCTTTGCCAAGCAGGTGGCAAAAACGATAGCAGACCCCTGCTCATTCGCGATCCGCCCAACCAAAAGCGTACCCAATGATTCACC